GTACATAGCCTGTACATCTTCAGGCATCTCGGTTCTATTTCCAGGTACATAGCCTGTACATCTTTCAGGCATCTCGGTTCTATTTCCAGGTGCATAGCCTGTACATCTTTCAGGCATCTAGGTTCTATTCCAGGTGCATAGCCTGTACATCTTTCAGGCATCTCGGTTCTATTTCCAGGTGCATAGCCTGTACATCTTTCAGGCATCTCGGTTCTATTTCCAGGTGCATAGCCTGTACATCTTTCAGGCATCTCGGTTCTATTTCCAGGTGCATAGCCTGTACATCTTTCAGGCATCTAGATTCTATTTCCAGGTGCATATCCTGTACATCTTTCAGGCATCTCGGTTCTATTTCCAGGTACATAGCCTGTACATCTTTCAGGCATCTAGGTTCTATTTTCAGGTACATAGCCTGTACATCTTTCAGGCATCTAGGTTCTATTTCCAGGTACATAGCCTGTACATCTTTCAGGCATTTAGGTTCTATTTTCAGGTGCATGGAATCTTTCAGGCATCTAGATGTTATTTCCAGGTGCACAGCCTGTACATCTTTCAGGCATCTAGGTGGCATTTCCAGGTGCACAGCCTGTACATCTTTCAGGCATCTAGGTTCTATTTCCAGGTGCATAGCCTGTACATCTTTCAGACATCTCGGTTCTATTTCCAGGTGCATATCCTGTACATCTTTCAGCCATCTACGTTCTATTTTCAGGTGCATGGAATCTTTCAGGCATCTAGGTGGCATTTCCAGGTGCACAGCCTGTACATCTTTCAGGCATCTAGGTGGCATTTCCAGGTGCACAGCCTGTACATCTTTCAGGCATCTAGGTGGCATTTCCAGGTGCACAGCCTGTACATCTTTCAGGCATCTAGGTGGCATTTCCAGGTGCACAGCCTGTACATCTTTCAGGCATCTAGGTGGCATTTTCAGGTGCATGGCATGTACATCTTTCAGCCATCTAGGTGACATTTCCATGTTCATGGCCTGTACATCTTCCTGGTGTTATTTCCAAGTGCATGGTCTGTACATCTTCCTGCACTATCACACAACATAGTTGCCACTATCACACAACATAGTTGCCACTAGCACACAACCGCTTCAGGTAAAGGCTCTTTATCAGTAGTATGATATTATTCAGATACTACGAATACATTGCTCAAAATTCCAGCAATTACCCACCTACTATTTTCTATATACTACGCTAAAATGTGAGCTCACTCATACAATTATTGTTACACATTCAGATTTGAAAACAAATGCAGGCAATATCCTTTTGTTTCAATAAAATGAATTCCACTTGTAGATAGTTATATGTAGGCTGGCCTAATCCAATGAATAAATGAGAGGCCTGCACATTGGCACCCAGCAAGTCACAAATAAAGTTAAACTACACATAGTAAATTGAATCAAAAATGTTTACTTTATGCTTTGTAATCTGTATAGTGATCTCTCTAATCATTTCTGTATGAAACAAATAATCTACAACTACCTTATTATGTGAAATAAAGTATGCTTATGTAAAAATAAAAACCTTCTCACATTAGAAGTGTCATTATGCACTATATACACCTGCAACATTCTCTCAGTGCCAAATAATGAGCACATATTGTCCAGTTTTACAGGTCAATATATTTTACTTTTACACATTTGTTTTTAGCTTTACACTTGTTTGTAGGCATAACACAAGTATCACATTTTTTCTCAGTTATTTAAAGGCCAGGGTGTGAATCCTTAAGGGTACATATTGATTACACAATGGATTTGGGTCTAGATGAATTTTAGTCACATCTATCTTGTAATTGGTAAAATTACATTTTATACAATTTTTCAAAGTGAAGTAAATATGACTGCCACTGGATAATGTACACACTAGTGTGGTGCTAACCCAGACCATATATTTCCAACTTGTGTGCACTTTTTTGCATATATTGGCATCTTTGAAGCAGTTGACATCAATGATTTGCAACTTTTTGGCCATAGTGCATCACTTTAGTATTTTTAAACCTCATCTCAATCATATGTTGTTAAATTGTAACAATTAAAAGTAATAATGATAATGGTTAATTTAACATTTACTTGTTCCCAAAACTACGAGAAAACAATAGAAATTGTTACCCATAATAGTGTTGTTGGGTGGCAATGAAGTTGTGAGAGGCGTGGTCATGACAACAAAAAAGTGACTGGTATAGCAATTGACATCATTATCACAAGTGTCATTTGCCTATTGTTCTCAATTTAATTTCATTATCAAATTTCAATTTCGAGCTGAGCAGCAGAGCTTTAGTTTAACAAACACTTACATTTTGTGAAAATTCAGCAAATATTGTGAGCACTTTAGTACCGTTTAGGCTTTACATGTACTTACAAAACCATAACAAATGTTCATTACATGATAAACATTACAAGTATTATGTAATGGTTACGCCAGTGTTGATACCTTTCCAAAACGGTTGACTTAATGTGTCCACTCCTCTTATGCGTACAATAGTTTACGTCAGTGTAAAAAGACACAAAAAAGAAAATGAACTTGCTGATAATCTGTCAGCTTAGTCAGACTGACAGTTTAAATATAATAAGGTACTTCATGCTGTCCATTATTATTATTGGCAGTATTGAGACACTTCTAACCCTACTACTTCAAGATTTGTTTGACTTCATACAGTTTCCATCAGGATACTTTTTCTTGAAGCGTTCAACTACCTCAGGATCCAATAAATGTACACCATCTAATTGATTGCCTAATGTAATCCTAGGGAAAGAAAACAAGAATTGAAATAAAAACACATGATGAATTGAATATCCTATGTGTGCTATTTTCTATGCCACAGTAGAACACGACTCAATACTGTGATTGTTTATATGGTCCGAGGATGTTAACAGAAAAATGACAACTCTTTCATGCCCTACACAACTGGACATTATCCTCCCAAAAGTAATAGCAGCTTGGCAAGTTGGCATAACTGCTGAGTGGGCAGGTGACTTTGGAAATGAAAACTGCAATCTCTTTGCTGGGCAGACATACAGACCATTATGACACACATCAGGTCTTTGATGTTGTGACAAGAAGCTATATCATTGAGATTTAGTGTCACTTATACCCTGCCACAATCAAGGCAATATCAAAGCCCATTTTGCATTGTGTGTATACGTGTCATTCCCACAAAATCAAGTCATGTCATCATTTCATGACATGAGTCATCTGTCGTTCAATAGTTAATAAAACTGAAATAAGTCAGCCATTTTGAGATCTAGTTCAGGTATGGAAGGAATGCTTGATTTTGCTGAATTTTGAACAAAAAAATGATAGCCATCTTGAGTCTTGAATGAGATCATAAAACAATTAGACATGCATATGTATCCCAAGATCTATGATGTATGCGTGAAGTTTGAATGTGATAAATCCAAGCACAGCCTAGGTACAGTGCAGGAACAAACACAAGCACAAACATATGCCTAGCGGTAAATCCAGAAGTCTAAAAAAGACAGACAACAATTACAATGACCCCTCATATATGATACGATAAAACTTGTTATGATGCTGGTATGACATGTAATATTTGATACAACCAGTAAATGATATATTAAAATTATAATACTTAGTAAATATTATTCAAAATAACCAGAATATTTGTGATGGCTTTTTATCAGCAGTATCTGACCTACCAATTTGGCTGGACATTATGAGGTCTTCCAAACAGTTCAATCTTTCTTGTTCCCGGTGACAACCTCTCAATCAACCCATAGATCTCATCTGGTTTGTGACTGGTCTCCCGCACTTCAGCAACCAAGACATCACAATCTAAACCACAATTATAATTCTTTGGTTCACCTTTTATACCAACCTTGAATAAAATAAAAACAAGTCTAACTATTATTTTGAATTACAATGCTGAAACTTTTATTGATGTCAAGAAATTTGCCAAAAGACTGTTGTAATTTTACACCACTACAGTTACAAATTATATACAGCATACTTAAGGTAGCAACAAAGATAAGATTTTCAGATAATGTATAGATTGTCTTAGTAGCATGCTCAGTAACTTTTAGGGAATGTCTGAATTACAGAACAGTTTTTAATGCATTTTTTTCCCTTTCGCTCCCTTAAGGTAGAAGCCTACTCATAAATTTTGACAAAATTGGTCATAAATCACATGACAATGTTTATTAGTTTTTTATGTACATTCGTGAAACTAATGTCTCATGGTACAATGAAATAGCATTATTTTGTGTGTTACAGTTGAGCTTTTTTAGAAACGTGTCCTGATATTTCTTGAAAATTGCTATTTTTAGAACAATTCCATAGAACACAATGTTAAAGAAAAATTGCATTTTTTTCCACTTTTTAAAACCCAGATTTTTTTAAATAATTCAGAGCAACAAAAAGTACTCCTTCGCTAATAATATATGATTTTTTCAGCCTATGTCACCAGGTTAGATTTTGAGATATTGCATAAAATCTCTGTCATAGGAATCTATGGTAAAAGCATTAAAATAGTGCCGAAATGGCGACTTTCCACTAAAATACAACCATCAATTTCTCAAAAATAAGGCTGGGGACCCCCAACTTCTTTTACATCAATATCCTTATATTGGAGTATAATTTATTGCAAAATAAATAAATTCTGGGTATTTTAATTTATAAGTAGGCTTCTACCTTAAATACGTTGTTTTCATTTTTGTCTTAAAATGGTCTTAGATGTATGAGAGGCAATATTTACTATAAATTTGTTGGAAGTTTGATTTAAATGGCTGCGAGCACCACCTACTCACAAATGCAGAAACTTGCATATTATTATCATATTACTGTGATCGAAAAAGCAAACCAAACCAGCAGTATTGCAATATAACGCACTGTTTTGTACAGATAACAAAATAGCAATATTGATAGTTCAAATGTTTGTAAAGGTAAGCTGATATCAATATATCTATTTTGTTAGCAAAACAGTGAGTTATATTGCAAACAGTGAACTATATTGCAAACAGT